CCAGAAGATTATCTTGCTGCTGCATACCAAAAAGTCTGCAAAATTCACAGTCAAAAAGGTCCTGGAACAATATTGGTTTTTCTTTCCGGCAGGCTTGAGGTTTGCTTCTTTTTGGATTTTTTGACCTTTTTGAATTTTTGTTTTGTGATTTGGCCCTTGTTTGGCGTTTGATTTGAAATTTGACCTTTTAGATTTGTGAATTTTTGGCCTTTTTCATAGAAAAACGATGATTTTCGATTTCTCTTACAGGTGATAACGCTGCTGAAATGGCTACGAGCACGTTTTCCGATCAGGTACCACTTGTTTCTTAATAATCTGTTGTTTAAAGAAATTAAATTGAAGCCATTTTCAAATCAGTTTCGGGTTTCTGCTCGTCTGAGACTGAATTTTTGCCTAAAAATAGCACTTTTTTCAGTAGCAACCACCCCTTGCTGCGCCTCACATGCTATTCTGCATGTCATCTTTTTTCCAGTGAAAGTGCATAAATCATTCTCTGAAATCGTTAACAATTTTCTTCTAGCAATATTTTTTGAAAAATTTAAATTGGTACATAATTTGGCAATGAAATTTTTATCAATAGTTCCATGAATTTTGATTTTAAATTTGCTAAAATGTTTTTTTTAGGAATCGAAAGAAAGAACGAAAATCTGGTGAAAAGAAAACGATGAAAGGTAAACGGAATCGAACGGAGGAACAGAAATCAGCTTCCAGTAAAGAAAAATCTCTAGGTGGCGTCGACGTGGAAATAACGGATGACAGATTTGCGGATGCTGATGATTTGGATTGGGAAGAGGATGGCTCTGATTCCGAAGTAAGAGATATGGTAAGGTCAAAAAATTAGTTTGAGAGAACGGTTTTTTTTTAAAAAAATTTGATTAAAAACGTTTTAAGAAGTAGCGCATGGCAAACAAGGTGCAGCAGTAAATAATGCTGTTTTCGTGCCGGCGGTTGAAGATTCGTATTCAAAAGCGAAAAAACCAAACCTTCCGTGATTCTTTCATTCGTTTCGATGGTAAATTGGTACTGGCATATGCTAGAAAAATATTCCCCACCCATGTGCGGCCTCCTTACATACCCCGGGCTACCACATATAGCACCGCGAAAGTTTTGGCGGAAAAAACTATTATCTGAAAAATTACGAAAGCTACGAAGCTAAAATTTTGAATTTCTTTGGCGGGAAGCGATTTTGTGAACCAGACAGATAGAAGGCTGAAACTTTGCAAGGATATTCTCTGTGCATGTGTGAGCTAAAGATTTTAAATTCAGCTATTGCACACACTTATACAGCGCGTACATTCACA